CTCTGGACCTGATTTAATTGAAAAGATGGGCAGTGTCAGGAAAACAATGCAAGAAAAATTTGTAAGTTCATCATATAGGAACCCAAAATATTTGTGCTTTTTAAAAAAATATTTGTGCTGATTGAGTATATCTAAGCTGTATGGGCAATCAATATAAAGGGATTAATGGGAAACTGCTGGATAAATGATCGAATATAGATGTTAAAGGTTCAGAGATACCAATAATATACTCCAACTAAACTTCAAAAGATCAATATTACAGCTTGCTGTCAGTCAGTCAAAACAGGTACTTTTCTCAATCTATAGAATATTACTTTATTTTTTATTTTGGAAATAAGAAATTTAATTTATGGAAAGCTAGTTGTTGTCAGAATTTCTCCCAATGTGCTTTCTAGAAGAACGGCCTCTTCTATTAGTTCTATTCCAGCTTGCAGGTTTATTCTAAGATGTAGCCAAAATACATCAAATTAACAGGACATAAAGTCTTTTATTGTTGTTTCTTCATCATACAGTTTTTTGATATTGTGCTTCTAAGGTATATTTTGTATATATATATTTTATGTTTAATTTTATAAAGTGTCCTTTTGTTGTATTAAGTGCAACAAATGTGAAATTAGTACAAAAAAAAGAAAACATTTGAAACTTACTGAATCTCTGGCTTCTACAGTATCTCACTATTTTCACTGTGTTAGCTATCATCCGCTGCAAGACAAAGAGCAATGATCAGCAGCAAATATCGCCAATTAGCTGAGAAGAACAAAAAAAAGATTCACAGATGCACAGCAGAGCCTCACCATTTTCTCAAAATTGACCAAACTGTCGATAAATGTTTTGTTGCCCTCATGAGTAAATGTCATGTCTAGAAAAAAAAAGGACCAATTGGAAAGTGTTAAAGCTGTTGAAGCAATTCAGCAACAACAATTGTGGTCTACAGGCCAAAATGATAAACTGTCATCCAATAAATTGGCCTAACCTTTGATCAACAGGGGCATGAAAGGAATGATGGGAGGTTCCAGTTTGGCTACTGTTAGCCGGTACGCCCTGTGGTTCCTGGACGGATCCTGTGGAGACAGTCATGCTGTGGATCAATCACAGTCTGGACACTAACCTCATATTTTACTCTGATCAGGTGGCTCATCTTAAATTTTTACTTTGGAGCTTACCATCAAGTTTTCAAATTCCACATAAAACTTCTTGAATTTACTGGGAAGTTTCTGCGAACAAAAACACCAGACAAAAGTTTGCTTGCAGTTAAGTAATTAATAATTTTCCAAAGACAGACAATACACAAATACACACCTCCCAGGTCTGACTCAGTCTGCAAACAGCCGGGTTACTTAGGCCCATAATGATAGCAAAGAAGGCATTCAGATTTCTGTACTCCTTGCAGCTTTAACAGGAAACATGAAATTAGTGTGGCAAATAAACCAAACTACAAACTGAAGTAGAACATGAAATCCACATACTGGGCAGCAATCTTGATAAACTTCTTAAGAAGCTGTACTCGCTTGCTCAGCTGAGGACACAAACACATCTCAGTGATCACCCAAAACTGAATTTCATTGAACCTCCTCAGGAACAGGTCCAGGTTCACAGTGGTTTTCTTCACATATTGTCTCCCAAATGTGTGATAGATGAGTTCAAGCTGCAAGATGCAGAAGAAAAACAACAGATTTTCATGTAAAATAAGCAAGTGAAGTAACTGAATATTTCATACCAATAAATAAAAGAAGTAAAAGAAAGATATATATTCAGCTCTTCTAATCAGACTCAGTTGCTGTTGAATACCTCATGTACACAGTGGAAAAGTTCCCAGTCATAGGAAGTCATGTGGTAAGCCACGTCCTTAGAGCTCATTAACTCAAAGCTGGCCAGTGATCCTGTAGAGGGACCCTCCTGCTCAGGTAAAGGGGTCTCCAAAGCATGAAAAACACATTACATTTATAAAACAGAGGCTGAAAGCTGAATTAGGTAACTAACTGTCATTTCTATCAATTTGATGGAGTGTTTAAAGCCAACTGGTTGGGAGTGTAGATGAGTTCATACACATGACGTGTTGGGTGATATTGATATAGTGTACAGCTGGGGTTGGAGCTGCAGCTGATCAACATGTTAATATGCAAGTTTCTCATGTAAATGTAATTTGTAACACACCAAAGAATCCAACTGGTCCCTCCGACACACAAACAGCTGTCCATTAATGCTGAGTGTGGAGAACACCGACATGTCACTGGGCTTAAAGATGGTTTTCTCTATAAAAGGAAGACCATAACACACAAAGGTTAAAAAAATGAATGGAAAACATCCATTTGTCTACCGTTTTCACTCACACTGAAAAATAATAACCATTAGATGGCTTGCCGAAAGATTTTAGAATAGGCATGCAGGTGCTCAGTGCCCTATTTAGTTGTTACTTTTTTCTATTTTTAGCATGAGGATGAGATTTTCTTGACATTTTTCACACCTTATGTGATCCCAAAACATTTCCTCCAATTCTTTTTTAAACATTTGTCCAAATAATCAAAGAAATAATACCATCAGAATTAATTGGCATGTATAAACTACAGAAATCAAATAGTATTTT